CTGCTCTCCTTTTTCATTTCCTCCCATTTCTCCTTTCGTTTTTGAACTCTCATCGTCTTCCTTTCGTCCTGTGTTCTGTCTCGATCGAGGTGTGTGTGTGTGTGTGTGTGTGTGTGTGTGTGTGTGTGTGGTGTGTGTGTGTGTGTGTCGCACAGTCCATGGTATTGAGTCTAGAGACAGGTACATTTAGATTACCTTAAAATATCTCCATCCTCTGCATTAGTAGCCCTCAACTTTGCCCTTGCTGGGGTCCTTGTCCTCTGATAAAAACGTGTAACACTACTTCTGTTACCGACACATGCAGGGAGTGGAACCTTGGTCTTGGGTGAGACCAGGACGATGCTGCTCTCCAAGCTACATGACGTTTCTTTAAAGGGAAGACATGCTTTGATGGTGAAGGCCTCGTAATCTAATGTATTCGGGCTACTGGTCTTTTCGATTAAACCTGATTACATCCCATTCTTCAGGTGTTGAGTAATCAATACGTGGTTTTGGGATGGAATACATATTTCCAGATGCAATCCGAAGCTAGCTTAAAAACACAAGGATGAAGAAACTCCTGCATCCACCTATGTACCTGTCCAACCTATATGCCACAGCTACCCATAGCTATCCAGTGTTGCGAGTCTGTCTCGATTAGATATTTCCAACACTATTTATCTCCCCTTCATTTATTCCTGTTTTCAATTTCTCTTGTGGTTGTATGAGATTTTAACTTCATCTTTATCTATATATTTTCCAGCTCATTTATATATCTGAAAGGTGTAATTTGATCACTGAATTTCGGCACTTTTTATAAAGGCATTTTTGCCTTTCAAATTTACTTACCTTTTTTCACTAAGGTATTTGAGGTGGTAGATCATGGTTATGGATACGATATTGTGTATATGGAACAAAGGGAGCAGCAAATGCCAAAATGTTAAGAGAGCATTCAGAAAAAATACCATGAGAAAAAGGAAATTAGGCAACAAACAGAGGAGAGGCAAGGAAAAACTCTTTATCTAGTATGCTAATAGCCTGAGGATAAGAAATATAATAGAATAATTAAGACTGATTGTAAGTACAAGAAATAGATGTTGCAACAACAAAACCTGATTGAATCAGAAAACAATAGACATGCCTGCTGCATCCCACATACCTGGAGTAAACCTGGAGGGTATTCCGGGGATCAACGCCCCCACGGCCCGGTCCACAACCGGCCACTCGGTGGATCAGGGCCTGATCAACTAAGCTGTTACTGCTGACTGCACGTAGTCCAACGTACGAACCACAGCCTGGCTGATCCGGCACTGACTTGAGGTATCTATCCAGCTCCCTCTTGAAGACAACCAGGGGTCTATTGGTAATGCCCCTTATGGCTGATGGAAGGCTGTTGAACAGTCTTGCGCTCCAGACACTTATGGTGTTTTCTCTTAGTGTTCTAATGGTGCTCTTACTTTTCATTGGGCGTATGTTGCATCGCCTGCCAAGTCTTTTGCTTTCATAGGGAGTGATTTCTGTGTGCAGATTAGGAACCATTCCCTCTAGGATTTTCCATTTGTAGATTATGATGTATTTCTCCAGTGATTACAAGTCAAGTACTTCCAAGCATCCCCAGTAGTTAAGGTGTTTGATGGAACTGATATGTGCAGTAAAGGTTCTCTGTACACTCTCTAGATCTTCGATTTTACCTGCCTTGAATGGAGCTGTTAGTGTACAGCAGTATTCCAGCCTAGAGAGAACAAGTGATTTAAAAAGAATCATCATTGGCTTGGCATCTCTTGTCTTGAATGTTCTTATTATCCATCCTATCATTTTCCTCGCAGATTTGATAGTGGCACTTATGATCCTTGAAGGTAAGATCCTCAGACATTACCACTCCCAGGTCCTTCACATTACTTTTCCACTGTATTGTGTGATTAGAGTTTGTAGTATACTCAGTTCTGGCTATTATTTCCTCCAGTTTTCAATAACGGAGCAGTTGGAATTTGTCTTCATTGAACATCATATTTTTCTCCGTTGCCCATTGGAAAACTTGGGTATAACAAATTAATCCATACCTAGTGAACAGAAAAGAGGGTGAAATTGATAGGTAAGTTAAGAGACAATTTACTGTTGCAGCAGAAATGATAGAATGGTGGGACAGACAGAATTTGTTTGATTTCAGCTTCTTGAAGGGCATGATTGATCTACCTGGAGTCTACCTGGAGGGCATTCCGGGGATCAACGCCCCCGCGGCCCGGTCCACGACCAGGCCTCCCAGTGGATCAAGGCCTGATCAACGAGGCTGTTACTGCTGGCTGCACGCAATCCAACGTACGAACCACAGCCCGGCTGATCCGGCACCGTCTTTAGGTATCTGTCCAGCTCCCTCTTGAAGACAACCAGGGGTCTTCCCGTAATGCCCTTTATTGCTGGTGGGAGGCTGTTGAACAGTCTTGGGCCACGGACACTTGTTGTGTTTTCTCTTAGTGTACCAGTGACGCCCCTACTTTTCACTGGGGGTATGTTGCATTGCCTGCCAAGTCTTTTGCTTTTGTATGGAGTGTGCATCTTAGGGACAAGTCCCTCTAGAATTTTCCAGGTGTAGATTATGATATATATCTCTCGCCTGCACTCCAGTGAGTACAAGTCAAGTGCTTTCAGTAGTTGTTTGATGGAGCTTATACGTACAGTAAAGGGTCTCTGTACATTCTCTAGTTCTGCAATTTCACCTGCTTTGAATGGGGATGTTAATGTACAGCAGTATTCCAGCCTAGAGAGAATAAGTGATTTAAAAAGGATCATCATTGACTTAGCATCTCTTGTCTTGAATGTTCTCATTATCCATCCTATCAGTTTCCTAGCAGATGTGATAGTGGCATTGTTGTGGCCCTTGAAGGCGAGGTCTTCGGACATCACCACACCCAGGTCCGTCACATTACTTTTCTGCTCTATTGTGTGATTGGAGTTTGTAGCATACTTAGTCCTAGTTATTATTTCCTCCAGTTTTCCATAACGGAGAAGTTGGAATTTGTCTTCATTGAACATCACATTGTTCTCTGTTGCCCATTGGAAAACTTGGTTTATATCTTCTTGGAGCTTTGCCGTGTCCTCAGTGGATGCCACTCTCATGCAGATCCTAGTATCGTCTGCAAAAGATGATACAGTACTGTTTCTCTGTCTATGTCTGATATGAGAATAAGGAACAGGATCAGTGCAAGTACTGTGCCTTGTGGGACAGAGCTCTTCACTATGGCAGCATCTGATTTAACTCTGTTTACCACTACTCTTTGTGTGCGATTGGTTAGAAAGTTGAAGATCCATCTGCCTACTTTGCCGGTTATCCCTTTAGCAGCATTCTGTGTGCTATCACACTATGGTCGCACTTGTCAAAGGCTATTGCAAAGTCTGTGTATACTACATCTGCGTTATGTTTGTTTTCCAGTGCATCTAGGATCATATCATAGTGGTCTAGCAGTTGCGAAAGGCAGGAGCGACCTGCTCTGAAACCATGTTGCCCTGGGTTGTGCAATTTTTGGGAGTCCAGGTGGTTTGCTATCCTGCTTCTTAGAACTCTCAAAGATTTTTATGATATGGGACGTTAAAGCTATTGGTCTTTAGTTCTTAGCTACTGCTTTGCTGCCACCTTTATGGAGTGGGGCTATATCTATTGTTTTTAGTGACTGTGGAATCTCGTCTGTGTCTAAGCTCCTTCTCCATAGCATACTTAGGGCCCGTGAGAGGGGTTTCTTGCAGTTTTTAATGAACACCGAGTCCCACGAGTCTGGGCCTGGGGCTGAGTGCATGGGCATGTCATTGATGGCTTTCTCAAAGTCTAGTGGAGTTAGGGTTATGTCATAAGTCTGGCCTACATTGGCAGGGTTTTGAGGCTCATTCATGAAAAAATTGTTTGGATTGTCTATCTTTAAACTGGTTAGTGGCTTGCTGAACACTGAGTCATACTGCGATTTCAGTATCTCGCTCATTTCTTTGTTGTCGTCTGTGTAGGATCTGTCTTGTCTGAGCAGGGGCCCTCTACTAGAAGTGGTTTTTTACTTGTTTTGGGCATATGAAAAGAAATATTTTGAATTTCTTTCAATTTCATTAATTGCTTTTAGCTCCTCTTGTCTCTCCTGGATTCTGTATGAGTCCTTTAACTTTAGCTCAATATTCTCCACTTCCCTGGTTAGCACTTCCTTCCGTGTATCAGATAATCTGGCATTCTTGAGGAGCTCAATGATTCTTCATCTTCTCCTGTAGAGGGAGCATCTCTCTCTCTCCAGTTTACTTCTTTTCTTTTGTCTTATAGGAATATACCTTGAACATACTTCAGCTACCAGGAGGATGATCTTTTCGAGGCATTGGTTAGGGTCCATGTAATTTAAGATATCCTCCCAGCATGTTTCATTTAGGGCATAATTTACCTGATCCCAGATGATGATCTTGTTGTTGAAGTTGAATTTGGTAGAGGTACCCTCATAGCTTTATGCATCTTGCTGATCAGGACTCCTGTGCATGCAAGTCTGGACTTCGATGAGATTGTGATCAGAATGTGTTGTTTTTGATACTGTTAGGTTCCTTACCAGGTTCTCATTATTTGCGAAAATAAGTTCCAGTGTGTTCTCCAGTGTTGTTGGCTCCACTGTCTGCTGACTTAAGGTGTGTTTGTTGCAGAAATTCAGCAGCTCCTGTGTGTGTGTGACTTTTCCTCTGAGCTACCTCCAGGGATTATTTCTGCTACAACATTATTTGCTATATTCTTCAATTTTGTGTGTCTTAGATTGAAGTCACCAAGCAGCAAGATGAGAACAGTTTTGACAGGAAATCTAGAATCTACCTTTTTTTTCGTTTGTATCGTGAGTACAGCAATATTGATAATGTTCTGTAGTTGCATATAAATTTTAACTTGTGCTAGCATATATAATAGTGCAGATTCAAAGTATGACCATGTGATCCTCACGAGGCTTCTGGTGCTTGCAATATTTTTAGTCAATAATAGCAAACAATCTTATGATTATGTACTATATTTCTATTTGCAGATTGTAGGCCTGGCGAACAGCCTCGCATATGCGGGCTTCTTGGTGATGCTAGTGCTGCTTAGTAATAATAGAACACACATCGAAAACTCCTTCCAGCCAACCCCACACCCCAGCTTTGATGATGATGATGAATATCTTGACATACCAGAGGAGGACAAACACCTTTTGGAGCTAATCATGGATAACATTGATCTTGGTAAGTTTTAAGAAAAGTTCTCATTGATGGGTCTGGGGATGATGGATTCTCCCACCTGTCCCTCCTTCCCCGTTACTCAGACATTGACCAAGTCTTCTGGTTGTCTGTCTGGTCAGCCAGACTTTTGGTATTTGCAGCTCACAACCTAAGATCAATCACTTGATCAACCTGGTTGTTCAGATGACTTTCAAAGGTTTAAATATTTGTGTGAATATAAGTATGCCATTTTCATCATTCTTTTTAAATTTTGTCTATAATTCCCTTTTAGAATTTTACACATGTTGAATCACATTCTTTGGGTCTCATGTTTAAAGTAATTAGTCACAATGCCCTTTTTTCTTAGCTATTTTTTAAATTTGACCCTGTCCTTGTAATAAATTCTTTTAGTTTGCAGGTTTGGAACCAGTCTTTCCAGTAATTTCTAGGTATAGATTGAAGCAATTTTCAGTCTTTTCAGCAAAAGTAAAATTTAATGAATAGGAATTTTATTTCCTTAAAGTACAATATACAATAAAGTACAGTATACAATTGAAATAGAATTAAATGGCATGTACAGTGGAACCTTGGTACTTGAACTGAATTCGTTCCAGAAGGCTGTTTGAGTACCGAACAAATTTTTCCTAACCAATTTCTTTTTTTTGTTGGCTGTTATCACTAATCTTCTTAGGCCCCATGGTGGCTTATACAAATAATATAAAAAAAAAGACCAAAAATTGAGAAGAAAAACGAAATAGTTTACAGCAAAGTTCTGGCAGGTCGTGTTTGTTTGGTCAAATGCCGAGCAAATGGTCGACTACTGGGGCGACTTTTTTACTGAAAGTGTTTGAATACCGAATTGTTAGAGTAGTGAGCTGTTCGAGTACCAAGGTTCCACTGTATAAACTGTCTCTGGTTATGCAGAGCATTTTGTGCAGCCTTAAAATTAATTTTAGGGCTCTCACTTATGTAGGTGGGATGTGTGCAGTTATTATTTTCTTGGAAATGTGATAAACCCATACAGGTCATTCATTCCCTGGGAAATGGGAGGTAATAAGAATCATAATACAACAAAAGTGAAGTGACTGTAGAAAAGAGCAATGCAGTAAGGATAACGAAGATATCTGTACAGTGAAAAATTGGATATATGTAGTACTGGAGGGAGGGAGTATACATTGACAAAATGAATGTACATACAATATTTTTATTTTAACACACTGGCTGTCTCCCACCAAGGTAGGGTGACCCGAAAAAGAAGAAACGCTTTCACCATCACTACATCACTGCCATGCCGACAATGCAGCTCAGATGCCCCTCTATACTGCAGTATCCCGATCCCTCCTTCAGAGTGCAGGCACTGTACTTTCCACCTCCAGGACTCTAAGTCTGGCTAACTGGTTTCCCTAAATAACTTCATAAATGTTACCTTGCTTTCACTCAAATAGTAATGCCAAGTCATAAAAACCACTTTCCTCCACTCACTTTTATCTAACATGCTCGCACACTGTATCCAAAAGAAGGAATGAATATCTGGTTGAATAATAGTCCTCGGAAACGAGCCTTAGGGTTTATTTGGATATAATGGTACAGGCAGTGTGTTTGGATGCTAGTTCATGCCAGTCTGAGCCTAGTGAGAGAGTGGGGTGGGGGACATCTTGCTGGTAGGGTGTGTGCTGAGATAGGGGAATGCAGGGTCTTGTGGAGCCAGCTCTAGGTTTAAATTCAACCTACCAGACAGCAGCACAATGCTTAATTGGTATGGTGCAAAGTACAAAGCTCAACAGGGGTTACACAGATGCCTGTTGGATGTCCAAGCCCCTCCCATTCAAAACCTCCTTTAACTCCTCCTTCTAACCTCTCCTAGGATGACCTCTACCCCTCCTTCCCTCCACTACAAATTTATACACCCTCCAAGTCATCCTATTTTGCTGCATCCTCTCCAAATGTCCAAAGCACCTTGATAACCTCTTCTCAGCCCTCTGGATACTACTTTGAATAACTCCACACCTCCAAATCCCCAAACTAAAAATTTTCTGCATAATATTCACACCACATTGCCCTCACACACATCCATACTGCCTCTAGCCTCCTTGCTGCAATATTTAAACCCTTGCTTCACCCATATAAGAGCATAGGTACCACAATATTCTGAAACATTCCTTGTTTTGCCTCTATGAATAATGTTATTTGTCTACACAGATGCTTTAGTGCACCACTCACCTTTTTACCCCTCATCAGTTCTATGGCTCGCCTCTTTTATAAACCCATCTACCTACAAGTCCACTCCCAAACATCTGCATGCATTCACTTCCTCCATACTCCTTGCTTCAAATCTGATATCCAGTCTTTTATTACCTAATGTTTTGTTGCTTCTCACCCTGCTCATTTACTTTTAATTTCCTTCTACATATCTTTCCATATCCCTCCACCACCCATTACAACTTGTTTTCAGAGTTTCCTAAAGAAGAGTCATTGGCAAAGAGAAACTGTGACAATTTCCACTTTGTCATGTATGGCTTTAGTGCTTTCCCATGAATATGAAATTACATTTTCCTTAACTTTTGGTATGATTGCAATCTGATTTTTGTTTATGGTGGAAGAGGAAGATACTGATACCTACGGTTTTGCTTATATGCTTAGCATACCGTACATGTAATTTTAAAAATGCAAAATGAAAGTGCATTTGTGAGATGACTTGGAAGGTACTATGTATAAATCTTTGGGGTGGGGAGAGGGGTCGTCTTGAAAAATGGTTGGAGGGAGGGGTTAATGGAGGTTTTGATGCTAGGAGACTTAGACATGCAGCAGGCTTGCATGAGCATGTTAGATAGGAGTGGAGCAAGTGATTTGTATGATTTGATGTGCTATTGGAGTGTGAGCAATGTAACATTCATGAAGGAATTCAGGGAAACCAGTTTGCTGGACTTGAGTCCTGGAAGTGGAAAGTAGTGCCTGCACTCTAAAAGAAGGGTGGGGTGTTGCAATTTCAAGGGTCATCTGAACTGTGATGGCATGCTTCTGGCAAGATAGTGACTGAGTGACAGTGTGTTCTTCTTTGTCGGGTCAAACTACCTCGGAGTGAGATGACTAAAGTGTTAAAAAAAACATTGGAGCAATGGTTAGGCGATCATTATCATGTAGAAACGCTAAATCCAATGGACATTCCTTTGATCAACTAGGCTGTGGTGGATATGTGGGTCAGTGGGCTGCCAGCAGCAACAGCTGGGTTGACCAGGCAACCCTGGTTCAGGGCCAGGCTTGATGAGTAGGAAAATTCTCAAATGCAGTCCAAGGTATGAGTCGTACAGTACCAGGGAGGTGGAAGGTAATCAGGTTTGTTAAAGGGAACAGGAAGGTAGATCTGATTCTTGAAATCAGGAGCCTTACACCAGCATCAAGGCTGTATTTTAACTATATTCTGCTGCATATTATGAAGTACTGGTGCTGTTAAGAAGTGCCTTATTCTTATCCATTGGGCAAAAGAACCTCTACCTTTTGTGTGTGGTTCTGTATTTAATTGTAAATTTTTGTGAGTTTCCAGTAGTATCCTGGTCTGAGTCTGTTTTGGTTATTCTACTCTGCGAGGTACAGTACAACATTTATTATAGTATTTTCTATTATCTTTATATATGTAGCTATTTGTATAAGTGGCCCTTTGTATGATTTATTTAATGTATGATTTCATACAGTGTATGTGGAAATTGCCTATTTTTCTTTTTTCTCCCATTTTCAATTGGGGCATTTGCAAAGCCTTCAGTGTTGCCACAGTTTATACAGTATCTCTTAGCTGAAATTCATTTCATTACATATCTTCATGATGTTTTACAATTTCTTTTACATGGATGAAACTGCTACTGTACACTGCAGTTCAGGGACCTGTGGGAGGACATCTGCATACAAGCAGAATTATTACTACAATACTAAATATATGCTTAATTCATAAGTAATGGGGATTGATCTGTGGAATGGGAGGGTGGTTCCAATCCCTTTTAAGAGCCCTTCATCACCATGAAGGCACTTACTCCTCCCTCATCCCTTGTAGGAAACATGAGCTAGTAGATGAGAAATGACAGGAACATTGTTCTCACTTGTATGAGTGTGTGTGTGCAGAATAATCTGGGAAACTAGTTTATAGTAAAAAAAAAAAATTATACAGTGCTATGTTAAATTACACTTTATTTTTTGAGGAAGTTTATTAAAATTAAATACATCTTTTCAGTGAAGATTGTGATTTACATCTTGCTGGGTGCATCGCTTCTGATAGTAATCACCGCCTCGATGCTTATCCATGGTGTCAGGCAGGTAAGCACAATATCATCTACTTTTGGAGCAGTCCTTAGTGTCACTGAAAAATAATGTCCAGTAGAGCTGTATCTCAAACTTTCAGCTTGTTAAGTTCCTGAAAATAGGTTGCAAGACAAAAAAAAAAATAAAGTAGTTAATTCTAAAATAGGAAGTTTAGGGTTATGTTTCTGGAGCTCAAAGCTCTTATTCATTTTTTGCTATGCAGTATTAAAACCTGTTATGTTACAGTGGACCCCCGGTATACGATATTAATCCGTTCCTGAGAGCTCATCGTATGCCAAAATTATCTGAAGGCGAATTAATTTTCCCCATAAGAAATAATGGAAATCAAATTAATCCGTGCAAGACACCCAAAAGTATGAAAAAAAAAATTTACCACATGAAATATTAAGTTTAATGCACACAAACTGAAGAAGACATGCACAGTTTGTAGTACTCTACTAACAATAGAATACATGACACTTACCTTTAACCCTTTGACTGTTTCAGGCCCCTCTCTGAAACTGTCATTCTATGTCGCCAAATATTCGAAAAAAAAAAATTATTTTTTCTTATGAAAATGTTAGGAATATTTTTCTGAGTGTTTTAAGCCTAAAAAAAATTTTTTTGCCATCAGTACTTACCGAGATATAGAGCCGCAAAGTTTGCAGAAAGTGACGTGCGTACGGCAACAGCGGCGACTGCCACCTACCCGTTATTCTTTTTTTTTTTTTTTTTCAACAAGTCGGCCGTCTCCCACCGAGGCAGGGTGACCCAAAAAAGAAAGAAAATCCCCAAAAAGAAAATACTTTCATCATCATTCAACACTTTCACCACACTCACACATTATCACTGCTTTTGCAGAGGTGCTCAGAATACAACAGTTTAGAAGCATATACGTATAAAGATACACAACATATCCCTCCAAACTGCCAATATCCCAAACCCCTCCTTTAAAGTGCAGGCATTGTACTTCCCATTTCCAGGACTCAAGTCCGACTATATGAAAAGGTTTCTTGCATTTTTCAGTAACTTATGTGGCCTGTGAGACCAATGTAAAGTGCATTCTTCAAATATACACTCATTGTTAACAACACAATAACAGAACAAACTTTATAACTATTAGTTTGTGCATACACTTTGTTTACACAAACAAGCAATACAAAACAATGTTTATTACTATTGTTTCGTAATATATATACATATGTAGTAGGTTGGTAGACAGCAACCACCCAGGGAAGTACTACCGTCCTGCCAGATGACTGTGAAACAGAAACCTGTAACTGTTTTACTGTTTTGCATGATGATAGGATTGCTGGTGTCTTTTTCTGTCTCATAAACACACTAGATAACAGGGATATCTTGCTACTCCAACTTACACTTTGGTCACACTTCACAGACACGCACATGCATATATATATACATACATCTAGGTTTTTCTCCTTTTTCTACATAGCTCTTGTTCTTCTTTATTTCTTCTATTGTCCATGGGGAAGTGGAAAAGAATCTTTCCTCCATAAGCCATGCGTGTCGTATGAGGCGACTAAAATGCCGGGAGCAATGGGCTAGTAACCCCTTCTCCTGTAGACATTTACTAAAAAAGAGATGAAGAAAAACTTTATAAAACTGGGATGCTTGAATGTGCGTGGATGTAGTGCAGATGACAAGAAACAGATGATTGCTGATGTTATGAATGAAAAGAAGTTGGATGTCCTGGCCCTAAGCGAAACAAAGCTGAAGTGGGTAGGGGAGTTTCGGTGGGGGGAAATAAATGGGATTAAATCTGGAGTATCTGAGAGAGTTAGAGCAAAGGAAGGGGTAGCAGTAATGTTGAATGATCAGTTATGGAAGGAGAAAAGAGAATATGAATGTGTAAATGCAAGAATTATGTGGATTAAAGTAAAGGTTGGATGCGAGAAGTGGGTCATAATAAGCGTGTATGCACCTGGAGAAGAGAGGAATGCAGAGGAGAGAGAGAGATTTTGGGAGATGTTAAGTGAATGTATAGGAGCCTTTGAACCAAGTGAGAGAGTAATTGTGGTAGGGGACCTGAATGCTAAAGTAGGAGAAACTTTTAGAGAGGGTGTGGTAGGTAAGTTTGGGGTGCCAGGTGTAAATGATAATGGGAGCCCTTTGATTGAACTTTGTATAGAAAGGGGTTTAGTTATAGGTAATACATATTTTAAGAAAAAGAGGATAAATAAGTATACAAGATATGATGTAGGGCGAAATGACAGTAGTTTGTTGGATTATGTATTGGTAGATATAAGACTGTTGAGTAGACTTCAGGATGTACATGTTTATAGAGGGGCCACAGATATATCAGATCACTTTCTAGTTGTAGCTACACTGAGAGTAAAAGGTAGATGGGATACAATGAGAATAGAAGCATCAGGGAAGAGGGAGGTGAAGGTTTATAAACTAAAAGAGGAGGCAGTTAGGGAAAGATATAAACAGCTATTGGAGGATAGATGGGCTAATGAGAGCATAGGCAATGGGGTCGAAGAGGTATGGGGTAGGTTTAAAAATGTAGTGTTAGAGTGTTCAGCAGAAGTTTGTGGTTACAGGAAAGTGGGTGCGGGAGGGAAGAGGAGCGATTGGTGGAATGATGATGTAAAGAGAGTAGTAAGGAAGAAAAAGTTAGCATATGAGAAGTTTTTACCAAGTAGAAGTGATGCAAGGAGGGAAGAGTATATGGAGAAAGAGAGAGAGGTTAAGAGAGTGGTGAAGCAATGTAAAAAGAGAGCAAATGAGAGAGTGGGTGAGATGTTATCAACAAATTTTGTTGAAAATAAGAAAAAGTTTTGGAGTGAGATTAACAAGTTAAGGAAGCCTAGAGAACAAATGGATTTGTCAGTTAAAAATAGGAGAGGGGAGTTATTAAATGGAGAGTTAGAGGTATTGGGAAGATGGAGGGAATATTTTGAGGAATTGTTAAATGTTGATGAAGATAGGGAAGCTGTGATTTCGTGTATAGAGCAAGGAGGAATAACATCTTGTAGGAGTGAGGAAGAGCCAGTTGTGAGTGTGGGGGAAGTTCGTGAGGCAGTAGGTAAAATGAAAGGGGGTAAGGCAGCCGGGATTGATGGGATAAAGATAGAAATGTTAAAAGCAGGTGGGGGTATAGTTTTGGAGTGGTTGGTGCAATTATTTAATAAATGTATGGAAGAGGGTAAGGTACCTAGGGATTGGCAGAGAGCATGCATAGTTCCTTTGTATAAAGGCAAAGGGGACAAAAGAGAGTGCAAAAATTATAGGGGGATAAGTCTGTTGAGTATACCTGGTAAAGTGTATGGTAGAGTTATTATTGAAAGAATTAAAAGTAAGACTGAGAATAGGATAGCAGATGAACAAGGAGGCTTTAGGAAAGGTAGGGGGTGTGTGGACCAGGTGTTTACAGTGAAACACATAAGTGAACAGTATTTAGATAAGGCTAAAGAGGTCTTTGTGGCATTTATGGATTTGGAAAAGGCGTATGACAGGGTGGACAGGGGGCAATGTGGCAGATGTTGCAGGTGTATGGTGTAGGAGGTAGGTTACTGAAAGCAGTGAAGAGTTTTTAAGAGGATAGTGAGGCTCAAGTTAGAGTACATAGGAAAGAGGGAAATTATTTCCCAGTAAAAGTAGGCCTTAGACAGGGATGTGTGATGTCACCGTGGTTGTTTAATATATTTATAGATGGGGTTGTAAGAGAAGTAAATGCGAGGGTCTTGACAAGAGGCGTGGAGTTAAAAGATAAGGAATCACACATAAAGTGGGAGTTGTCACAGTTGCTCTTTGCTGATGACACTGTGCTCTTGGGAGATTCTGAAGAGAAGTTGCAGAGATTGGTGGATGAATTTGGTAGGGTGTGCAAAAGAAGAAAATTAAAAGTGAATACAGGAAAGAGTAAAGTTATGAGGATAACAAAAATATTAGGTGATGAAAGATTGGATATCAGATTGGAGGGAGAGAGTATGGAGGAGGTGAATGTATTCAGATATTTGGGAGTGGACGTGTCAGCGGATGGGTCTATGAAGGATGAGGTGAATCATAGAATTGATGAGGGGAAAAGGGTGAGTGGTGCACTTAGGAGTCTGTGGAGACAAAGAACTTTGTCCTTGGAGGCAAAGAGGGGAATGTATGAGAGTATAGTTTTACCAACACTCTTATATGGGTGTGAAGCATGGGTGATGAATGTTGCAGCGAGGAGAAGGCTGGAGGCAGTGGAGATGTCATGTCTGAGGGCAATGTGTGGTGTGAATATAATGCAGATAATTCATAGTTTGGAAGTTAGGAGGAGGTGCGGGATTACCAAAACTGTTGTCCAGAGGGCTGAGGAAGGGTTGTTGAGGTGGTTCGGACATGTAGAGAGAATGGAGCGAAACAGAATGACTTCAAGAGTGTATCAGTCTGTAGTGGAAGGAAGGCGGGGTAGGGGTCGGCCTAGGAAAGGTTGGAGGGAGGGTAAAGGAGGTTTTGTGTGCGAGGGGCTTGGACTTCCAGCAGGCGTGCGTGAGCGTGTTTGATAGGAGTGAATGGAGACGAATGGTTTTTAATACTTGACGTGCTGTTGGAGTGTGAGCAAAGTAACATTTATGAAGGAGTTCAGGGAAACCGGCAGGCCGGACTTGAGTCCTGGAGATGGGAAGTTCAGTGCCTGCACTCTGAAGGAGGGGTGTTAATGTTGCAGTTTAAAAACTGTAGTGTAAAGCACCCTTCTGGCAAGACAGTGATGAAGTGAATGATGGTGAAAGTTTTTCTTTTTCGGGCCACCCTGCCTTGGTGGGAATCGGCCAGTGTGATAATAAAATAAAAATATGTACAGTCACTAAACATGTTCCTAGAACTGCTGCAGCTTGTGGAACTCTTTGAAACATGGGTATATGCAGAGGGGCACTTGACACTCCTCACACATAAAACGAGTGTCTCTGCGTGTTTGTGGGAGTTTTGTGGTATGCATACATACATAACACCTCTTCTGAGCATTTTCTTGGCAGTAGTAGGAGGCAGTTGCATGGGGTAGTGATCACCAGGCC